TATCCTCCAGCACGTGCTGCCAGTCATGCTGAAGGTAAGCCTACCCTGCCAGCCTCTGTCCTTTCAATAGCCTTGACGGTCCCTTATGAAGGCATCAGTTATTTTTGCACCCTTCTAGACTTGTAATACCTATGACAACCAAATCTCTAGAAGGAAAACAGTCTGTGGCCAGAAGTCCTCCTCACAGTCATCCTAACACTATCTCACTGTCTTCCTCATATCTGATGATGCCATAGCACTCTCCTCCAGCCTTGTCTATGGCCACCTCCGCCTTGACGGTCCCTTATGAAGGCATCAGTTATTTTTGCACCCTTCTAGACTTGTAATACCTATGACAACCAAATCTCTAGAAGGAAAACAGTCTGTGGCCAGAAGTCCTCCTCACAGTCATCCTAACACTATCTCACTGTCTTCCTCATATCTGATGATGCCATAGCACTCTCCTCCAGCCTTGTCTATGGCCACCTCCTTTCTGTTTCCACACATGCTTTCTGACTTCTACAGTCCTGCCCTCCCCTGGTGCATCCCCAACACCTGCGACCTCTCCAAGAGTGGCTCCTCCAGGGATTCATCAGGCTGTTGGAGCTGAGGTTGGGCCATGTTCCCTTTTTTCTCCAACGGGCACAAATGCGCTCTGGGTCAGATGACCTCTCAGTGCCTGCTTTTGCAATGGTATTAGCAGCCTTTGCAGACACTGTGAAGCTTCAGCGATGAACATGGCAGTTGGATTTATGCTTGCTGGGACGCTCAGATATCTGCTAATGCACTGGACTTTTCTCCAGTGCAGCTGTTTATTGCTCTGCAATTTTGATCCTCTTGAAGTTGGGCCACCCTTCTCCTCAGTATAAGAAACACCTGGTGTACCACAGGTGTGACTAGCACAAATATAACAATATTCCATCAGAATATTCCATCACAAGGTAAGCAACAACTCCTGGAAAGCCAAGCAGTCAGCAGCAGCCTGTCTGGATGGGGTGAACCATACAGCCTCCCCAAGTGGAATGAAGCCTAGGGATGAACATCCAAAACATACATGCCTTTTCTCTCCAGCACAGAGATGGTGAGGCTAGCACCCCCACCACTGGGATGTTGACCCTGCACAGCCACCCAGAACCTGCACCCCAGAATGCAGACCTGGTGATATACCTCAGGCCTGACAGATGCATGTCTAGATGCTCTAAGGGATCGACATGGGTGGTCATTCTGCAACACCCTTAGGCAAAACCCCTCCCAGTCAGCCACTCTTTTTACCATACGAATGTCATGTCCTTACTGCAATTTATACCACGATTTCTCTTCACATTGTAAACAACTTTTTATATACTGGAAGGCTCCATATCCACCAATTTTTGCTTTTTCTGCCTAACCCACAATTTTCCTGCTCTTTTATTGCTTCGGATGTGCTTTCGTTGGCATACTTTTTTCCATGAAGCATGGACCCAAAGCTGGACTTGTGCACCAGCCCCAGCAATAGTAAGGGGAGCCAGAGAGGATCTCACTGAAGTCTCAGAGCTTGTTTACAAGCAGGGCACAGTTTTCTGCCCTGCTTTTGCTGCACTAGCTATTGTGGACTTTGACCAGAACTGTTACCCGAGTTGTTCTTCATCCCATGCTTACACAACTGCTTCTTCCTGCCCACATGCAGGAATTTGCACCACGTCCTCGTGCAGCCCAAGACACCATTTGTCATCTTTGCTGCAAGGGCACATTGCTGGCTCGTGGTCAACCTGGTGTCCACCAGGACCCCCAGGGGCTATTCTGCCAAGTTGACTACCAGCCTGCCAACCACTAGTTGGCATACAAGGGGTATGCAGGATGCAGGACTTTTCACTTCCCCTTGTTGATCTTCATAAGGTCCTGTTGACCCGTTTCTCCAGCCTGTACAGGTCCCTCTGGATATCAGCACAACCCTCTGGTGCATCAGCCACTCCTCCCACTT